ACTTATATATATGGCCCAGATCAGTGCGAAATTCTGATTCTCCTGCCTCAGCTTTCCAAGTGCTGGAATGATTGGTATGCACCCCCATGCTTGGCTAGTTAAGAGCAAAATAAATATTTCTTTAGAACTATTTAGGGTTATAATCCAGAAAAAGCCAGATTCAAGCAATCTTGAAATTTTGCTTCAAGCTTTTATAAAATGTATTTTTGAAAGCCTTTATACCTTTAAACCAACAAGTTTGAACTTGGCAGCACTTGTCAGTAATTATGATGAGTTCTACGGAAGAGACTATAGGAAAGGGATTGGGTGTGGTCATGATGTTTGAAAGTCGGTCTGCATACACTCTGTGTGTGTATGTGTGTGTGTGTGTGTGTGTGTGTGTGTGTGTGTATGTGTATGTGTGAATGTGAGTACAGACATTCGAAGAGTTCATAAGAGAACGTTAGATCCCTGGAGCTGGCGCTGGAGCTGGAGGCAGTTGTAAGCCTCCTGACATGGCCACTGGGGACTGAAGTCTGGTCCTTTGCATGAGTAAAGGAATTTGGAACATTTACAGCTGAGCCATCCCTTCAGCCTCCCTGCTTCCAGCTTTTGAGACAGTCTACGTAGGCCAGGCTGGACTTGAATTCTTCTAATTCAAGATTCTTGATCTTCCTACCTCTGCCTCCTCATTGCTGGGATTATATGTGTGTAGCCTGTTATGTCAAGTATCATGCTGGAAACTACCCCAGAGCTCTGTGCATGCTAGGCAAGCTCTCGCTCTCTGTCTTTGTCTTTCTGCCACTGTCTCTCTCCCTCTCTCTCCTTTTTTTGTTTTTTGAGACAGGGTTTCTCTGTGTAACAGAGCCCTGGTTGTCCTGGACCCACTCTGTACACCAGGCATCATGGAGATCCGCTTGTCTCTGCCTCCTGAGTGCTGGGATTAAAGGCTGTACACACCACCACACCTGGCTAGGCAAGCACTCTTCTGGAGACACTGTCTCAAGACATAATAGACACAGATACACGTTGTGAAGAATAATGGGGAAGTTAGAACAAAACAAAATTTGGCTCATTTGAAATGATTTGTCAGGTTCCCCCAAAGTTTTATAGGAAATTCCAATATACCCTGAACTCTGGGTTAAACAAAATTTAAACTACCTCTGCAAAGCCTCACTGCGAATACTGGTCTCAGGCTGTGACAGTGCCATGGCCCAAGGAACTCCTCATGCACTAAGACACTTACAGAGAAAGGGAAGTGACCTCACAGGGTCTGTAGCTGCTGGGGCAGCTGGGTCACCCATCTGATGGCCCTGTCTCAGCATCTTCTTTTGCAAGTTGTGGTGAGTCTTCAGCCACCAGAATCAGGGGTGGGGTGGGGTGCAGGGTTGCCTGCCTATGTATGTAGATCTGTTTCTGGAAAGTTCTCCCCTGCCCCCTTAACTTCTCCAGCTTCTATCTCACTTCTGCTGGGTCTCAGGACTTTTTAGATGATGCTGGTTACAACTGTCACTACCTTTTGTTAGAAAAAGGAGCGGAACCTCATGACCATGGTGGGCAGGTCATGGGTATGGCTTGGAGGGAGGAGAGCATCTCAGAGACAGCGTCATTACAGAGGTCTTAATGGAAAAGTGGGTTTCTCTTTAAAACCGGGGAAGGGTGCTGGAGAGAGGGCTCTGTGGTGAAAAGCACTAAATGCTCTTCCAAGGTCCTGAGTTCAATTCCCAGTACCCACATGGCAGCTGACAAGTGTCTGATGCTGTCTTCTGATGTGCAATGTACATGAAGACAAAGCACCTATATACATAAAATATGTAAAAAATAAAAATAAAACCTGGGTAGGGCCGGGCTGTGCTGTCTCACACCTTTAGTACCAGCACCTTGGGAGGCAGAAGGCAGGAGGATCTCTGAGTTCCAGGACAGCCAAGGCTACGGGAGAGCCTGCCTCAAAACAAACAAAGGAAGGAACAAAACCAACCTGGAGAGTAGCTTCATTAAGAGAAAAAGAGATGGCTTCCTGGGCAATAGGAGGGCGTGGGGGATGCCCGGCCAAGAGGCTCGGGAGAAAGCTTTCAGAGAAATCTTCTAATATAAAGGAAATACTTGACCTTGACGTTCATATTCTTTCAGAGGGTGTCAGGAAGGTCCCCACCGTGACGCTGTTTGTTTTGTTTTATTGAGACAGGGTACACGTGGTCCTGGCTGTTCTGTGATATGACACTCTTCAAATTTTCCTTTTTTGTTTGTTTGTTTGTTTCAAGACAGGGTTTCTTTGTGTAACCCTGACTGTCCTGGAACTCACTCTGCAGACCAGGGTGGCCCTGAACTCAGAGACCCTCTGCCTCTGCCTCCCTAGTGCTTAGATTAAAGGTGTGTGCCATCACTGGCCAGCACATTTTCTTTTTTAAGTTTTCTCCATACATGTATTGCCATGTCAGGTTGTAGTGGGTGGAAAACATGGCCTGAGGGGAAAGCTGCAGCCTCCCTGTCCCGCCCTGCTAAGCCACTCCAGATATGCACCCTACTTACATAAAACACAACACTGGGTATGTGGAATTCACAGCAATTCCCTGGCTTTCAGTGTCCCCAAGAGTCCTAACTCCAGAGGGTATTGGAAGTATAGAGTAATGGATGCCCCAGGGAAGTATGCTATGAAGGGGACCTGCTTCAGCTCCTTCCAGAGAGACTGAGCCTCTTGAGGTGGAGCTTCCTGGGATCTGGCAGATAGCAGCAGAAAAGGGCCCATGGAGATCACTGGGGTGAGGGTGAAGTGGAACCAGACCAGAGGTTGAGATGGGTGTCATAAGGGCTAGAGTCCAAGAGGTCAGAGTCCAGCAACAAACACAACTGAGCACAGCTGAGTGGAGTGACACCAACTGTGGGGACAGGCCTGGACTTTGGTCTGCCAGAGGAGGGACTCCTGACACGGGCCACACCTTCTGAGACACAAAGTCAGGCTCCCACATCACCAGCAGGGGCTCTTGCTCAGATAACTGAGATGAGTGCAGCATTTTGTTTCTTCAGGGGTAGGGTCAAAGCTCAGGGAAAGCTGGAATTTCTCACCTTGAGACTTCAGGGCCACTGGGTTGTGGTGTACAATTTTGTTATTTTGTTGTTTGTTTTGGGATCATAGGCATGAGCCACCTCATCAGGCTGTGTTGTACACTTTTAATCCCAGCACTCAGAAGGCAGAGGCAGTCAGATCTCTGTGAGTTCAAGGCCAGCCTGCTCTACAAAGTGAGTCCAGGACAGCCAAGGCTACACAGAGAAACCCTGTCTCAAAAGACAACAAACAAAACAAACAAAAAACAATTTTTCTGTGTAGCTTCAACTGTCCTGGAAGTTGATCTGTAGTAGGCCAGGCTGGCCTTCAACTCACAAAGATCTACCTGTGTCTGCCTCCCAAGTGCTAGAATTAAAGGTGTATGCCTCCACTTTCTCCTGGCTCCTGGTGCAAATTTTGAAACTGGAGTCCAAAGTTAGAATTGGTGGTGCACACCTGTGATCCCAGCACTGAAGCTGTCAAAGCAGGAGGATCAAGATCTGATGGTGAGCTTTGTCTACATAGAGGGTAGAAGGCCAGCCTGAGGAACATAGCAAGATCCTGTCTCTAAAAACAGAAACCACTGGACAACTAAAACAGAGCAATCCAGACCTTTGAGGTGGGAAGACACACATTTAATCCAGATCTTTGAGGAGGAAAGACCCACCTCTAATCTGGGCCACACCTTTGGCTGAAAGCTTTTTTAAAGGACATGGAATTAGGAACTAAAGACTTGCTGAGACATCCAGCCTCTAGGACCACACAACTATTGGATTCCTGGATTCGCTGGACCATCTCTAACTCCAGAAAACCATGGCCAACACACTAGTAACCCTGGGAAGAGGGAACCCCAATTGAGGAATTGGCCAAATCAGACAAGCCAGAATGGCCTGTGAACATGTCTGCCAGAAATTGTTGTAACCCATGGCTGACATGAGAAGGCCCAGCCCAATGTGTACACTGATGTTCCTCGGCAGGTGTGCCTGGGGTGGGTAAAAACAACCCAGCCAGCTGAGCACAAGCCAGAAGGGGGTACAAGGCCCCTGGTAGCAGTGTTCCTCCAGGGTTTCTGCTCCAGCTTCTCTCCTGAGCTCCTGCCCTGACTCCCCTAGATAGACCGATCTGGAAGTGTAAGATGAACTAAGCCTTTCCTTCCTAATGCTTCCCACGAGATGGATTCATATTCTAACTGTCACACCTAGTGATAATGATATCTTTATATTCGGTCACAGAGTTTTATATTTGAGACAGGACAGGGTCTCAAGTGTCTAGGCTTGCCTATGAAGTTTAGGGTGACCTTGGACTCCTTGTCTTCCTGCTGGTAAAACTCTGAGATTACAGGCCTCTGCCACCAAGCCCAATGTATGAGATGCTGGGGATCATACCCGGGGCTCCCAGTACTGAGCCACACTCCCAGCCTGGAGGGCTTTGTTGAGTGTGGGAACACAGATCTTTTTATATTTTATTTTATTAATTTTTGAGACAGTTTCTCTGCATAGCCCTGGCTGTCCTAAACTCTCTCTTTAGACCAGGCTGGCCTCTAAATTAGAGATCCACCTGCCTCTGCCTCCCGAGTGTGAGTCCGGGGATGAAAGGCACATGAAGCTCACCAGGATTGGGGCACAGGTCTTCAACACTCAGCTTGGCAATGTGGTCCTTTCCATTGCTTTGTTTTGTTTGTGAAGGGTTTCGTTTTGAGACAGGGTCTCACTATGTAGCCCCAGCTGGCTTGGAAGCCTGTGCAGACTGGGCTGACCTTGAACTCACAGGAATCCTCCTGCCTCCACTGGTATTGAAGATGTGCACCAACATACCTTTTTGTCTGTTTGGCGAGTTTTGTCCTTGCCTCCTTTTATGTAGCCCATCTATTGACCAAAATTTAGTCCATGCTCAAACTGCCACTACCTCAGCAATTTTCCTATAGCTCATTTCCAACTGACATCTCATGTACACATTTACCATCACAACTTTTTCTTCATTTTCTTCATTTATTTGGAGACAGAGTTTTACATAGCTCAGGATGGCCTCTAAAGCTAAAGATAACTTTGAACTCCAGATCTTCTTACCTCAGCCGCCCATGTTGTGGGAGTACAGTCATCACCTTGCCAGCTAAAATACTTTTTGCATATGTGGTACTGGGGTTGAACTTGGACCCAGCTGTTGCTGGTCTTTGCTACTTTGTGGGTTCTTCATTTTCCCAGTCTTTATCCCCAGGTTTCACCCCTGTCTCTAAATAGGAGAGAAAGAAGGATAGAGGGAAGATAGAAAGTTACAGATCCCTGAATTTAATTTTTTTTCTTTTGTTTCTTCTTTGAGCAAGGCTACTAACAAGGGCTGGAGAGATGGCTCAGAGGTGAAAAGCACTGGCTGCTCTTCCAGAGGTCCTGAGTTCAATTCCCTGCAACCACATGGTGGCTCACAACCATCTATAGTGAGATCTGGCACCCTCTTCTGGTGTGCAGGTGTGCATGCAGGCAAATAATTGTATGCCTAAGAAATAAATCCTTAAAAAACAAAATACACACACAAAAAAACCTACTAACAAACTACAATTACCAACCCTGCCGCTCAGGGATCCAGCATTTACATACCCTCTGAAAAGTTCCCAGAATTCCAAATGCCACACAATCATAGAAACTATCTTCAGCTGGCGAAACCACGACTCTGCTGGGACACGAGGCAAATTGTAGTCTGCTGCTGCAAAGCAGCCTCACGTTCCCACACCTGAGATTAAAGCGAAAACATATTCTTAAAATATTTCTGTGCTTTTTAAAGAAGCCAAAATTCCAGAATTGTCACTACACCTGGCACCATTTTGTTTTACCCCCCTTGGGAGGGCACAGATGTCACTGCCAATTATCACAAATGTGCAGGTGAGTTTGCCACATTTCAGGGAATCAGAGATCAGCGTACCTGAAAAAGCCATTGTTAAGGCTTGCTGTGGGAACACTGCCTTTGTGATCCTGGTTTCTTCCTTGCCCGGTAATTAAGACTGTTCGCTTCCGATATTGACATAATTGGAAGATTGCTTTGCACGCTCCTGTGCCTGGGTTCTTTGATCTAGCATGGTTTATGAAGTTCATTCATGAGAGCTATAAGAGATGATCCACACTTGTAATCCCAGCATTTGGGAGATGGAGACAGGAGATCAGGGAGAGTTGAGGCCAGTTTGGACTACCTAGGAAGCTTGAGGCCAGCCTGGGTTACATGAGACTCTATCTCAAAAATAAATTTATCTTAGTCAGGTGGTGGTAATGAACGGCTTTAATCCCAGCACTCAGGAGGCAGAGGCAGCTGGATCTCTGCGTTCAAGGCCAGCCTGATCTGTTCTGGCCTTCGGAGTTAGTTTCAGGACAGCTAAAGCTACACAGAGAAACCCTGTCTGGAGAAACAAAGAAACAGATAACAACAACAACAAAAACCCAACAAAACAAACAACAATAGAAAAAAAATCACAAAAACTAGTCAACCAACCAAACCAACAAAAATTCATCTTCTGGCAGCACAACTTATGTGTATGTGTGTTAAGGTCATTGATGACCGGTGGTTCCACGTTCTCTTCCTCCGTCAAGTAAGTTCCAGGGGTCAAACTTTAGGTCATCAGGCTTTTGGTGTAAGTGCCTTTACCCACTGAGTCATGAGCAAAACTGTGAGTTTCTCCTCACCCCCCAACACATACTTTTAGTCAGTCTTGCTATGTTGTCTACACTGTCTTTGAACTTGCATTGACCCTCCTGCCTCTTTCCTCTTGAGTGTTGGGATCATGAGTATGTACCACTATACCTGATACTTAAACTTTTTTTTTTTTTTTTTTTTTTTCTGAGACAGGGTTTCTCTGTGTTGCCTTGGACTCACTTTATAGACTAGGCTGGACTTGAACTCACAGAGATTCGCCTGCTTCTGCTTTCCTGAGTGCTAGGATTACAGGTGTGCACAACCACGTCCGGCTAACTTTGCAATTTTTTTGCAAATTAGGTCACCTGTTTGGTGTTCAATTTTGTTATAAATAAAAAAACTTCAGAGTCCAATCCCATCAGATAACAATGAAAACTCCTTGTCTAATTCTGATACCAAGCAGGTGCTTAATAATTGGTAGGTTCCCTTTTTTTTTTTTCCATTCAAGAGCCAGGATCTCAGGGCAACAGATTGTGTGTGTGTGTGTGTTTCTTTCTTGCACTCCCAGGTCTTGCTGGAGTGTTTAACCATACCGAGACTGCTCATGTTCCTGTCTTAGCTTTCTAGCAGAACAACCCTCAAGTCAGACTGAAAACCTCCTGTGCTAATAAACTATGCTCAGAATCTAAAAAGAGACACCTCATCAGTGAGTAGGAACTGTTCAGTAGGGCGTTACTCAGAACCTCCCGCTAAACCTGTTCTTCTGCCTTGGCCATTAGTTCCTGCCCGGCTTCTTCCTGCTGTCAAAACCTGTTGCTCTAATAGCTGTAGATTAATAAAGAGGTTCAAAGGACAAAACATTCTCCAGGCCCTGGGACTTTAGCCTTTTCTATTCTTGGCTGTAAACTCTTTGTTTATTAGGCTGAGGGCAAAACTAATGAATCATTATTTCCTTCCCACTTGCCAAATAGATACTGTTGCCTGCCTGATCCACGTAATTGTGGTATTGTTGTTTTTTTTACACTCTCATATATCTTGGACTGGATTTAATATTTTTTTTTGTGTACAGGTGTTTTGTTTATATATATGTCTGCGCACATGTGTACCTAGTGCCCAGAGGCCAGAGGAGGGTTTGGGATCTCCTGGTACTGGAGTTACATACTGTTTTTAAACCGCCACGAGTGCTGGGAATTGAACCTGGGGTGTCTGGAAGAGCAGCCAGTGCCCGTAACTGCCGATCCATCTCTCTAGTCCCTTATTTTGGCTTTTTGAGACAGTGTCCTGATGTAACTTCCACCTCTGGTTGACCTAGAACTTGCTATGTGAACTAGCTGGTCACAAAGTTGAGGCCCTTTTCCTGTTTCTGCCCAGCATGCTGGGATTACAGGTGCTTTACCACACCCGGCAGTACATTCTGTAACTTTAGTACTGGGGAAAGATCTAGGAGGTTGAGGGAAGGTCTACGTTATCTTGCTTTTCTATACAGGGTCTCACTGTGTAGCCCTGGCTGTCCTGGAACTCACTGTGTAAACCAGGTTGGCTCCCAACTCAGAGATCTGCCTGCCTCTGCCTCCTGAGTGCTGGGATGGGCCCCCGACACCACTACCCAGCTGAAGGTCTAGGTTATCAAGGAACTAATAAAAACCCAAGTTATCTGAAGGTGTCAGCGGAAATCACTACTTTACCCTGACATCATATTTAAATTGGATTTTGCAAAATTCCACTTTGTAGTTTGAGAGAGCAAACTGCAAGTTTGGCCTGCTATCCACTTCTTCCTATGGAATAACTACCACTTATGGTGGCCTGTGTATAGACATTTCACTAAACACTGTATGAGTATTTCATATTTTAAAAGATACATTATTTTATGTGTGTGGGTGTTTAACTTGCTTGTAAGTAAGTGAACCACATGTGTGCCTAGTGGTATTATTGGATAAAAAAAGACAGATTCCCCTGGGACCTGAGCTGCAGACAGTTGTGGGCCACCATGTGGGATACTGGGCATCAAACCTGGGTCCTCTGCAAAAGCAGTAAAATGCTCTTAGTCACTAAGCCAACTCTCCAGCTGTGTATGGGCATTTTTACACTTGATTCTTCCTTAAGCCCCACAAGTAAGAATTATTACCTGAGAAAGCCATTTGTGATGGTGCAATCATTTAATCTCAACACTTTAGAGACAGAGGCCAGCAGATCTCTGAGTTTGAGGTCAGCCTGGTCTACAAAGCGAGTCCAGGACAGCCAACGCTACAGAGAAACCCTGCCTTGAAACACCTCCCCCCCCCCCCAAAAAAAAAAAAAAGTACTTTTCAGATGAGGAAACTGAAGCTCAGAGAAAGTAGCACAGCCAGGAAGCTGTGAAACAGGCTTTTAAACTCAGGGTTCTACTATAAAGAGACACATTTTATGGGCATGAGTGTTTTGCTTGCATGTGTATGTACTACTTGCATGCTTGGTGTTGCGGAAGTCTGAGGAAGGTGTCAGAGCCCTTGGAACTGGATTGTGGATAGTTGGATGCCATCATGTGAATGATAGGAATAGAACTCAAGTCTTCTGGAAGAGCAGCTAGTGATTAACCTGAGTAATAATATCTCCAGCAAGAAATGGTAATAAAAAGCAGTTCACATTTGGCTTTATTGCTTGAAAACAATTATTAATTTCTCGGTGGTCGTCTTCTAAGTTTTCCTTCTTCCTTAAAGTTGAGTTGCCCTCTTCCCTGGTACATTTCTCTAGCATTGGACTTTGATCCGCTACGCATTGATTTGATCGATTTCACCTTACTGTTAATCAGGTCTTTGAGAATGAGGACTTTCATCTGTCTTGGTTTGGCTGTTTTTCGAGCACTTACAGGAGGGCCAGCAAAGCCCCAAACAAACTAGTAGGACAGCTGTTCTTAACCTGTAGGTCGTGAACCCTTTCACCGGGATCACCTAAGACCGCCAGAAAACAAAGATATTTACATCACGGTTCACAACAGTGGCAAAATTACACTTTTTGTTTGTTTGTTTGTTTGTTTTGGAGACAGGGTTTCCTTGTGTGGCCTTACCTGTCCTGGACTTGTCTTGTAGACCAGGCTGGCTTGAACTCACAGAGATCCGCCTGCCTCTGCCTCCCCGAGTGCTTGGATTAAAGACCTGCGCCACCACGCCGGAAAATTACAGTTACGAAGTAGCAACAAAAATAACTTTATGGTTGGGGGGTCATCGCAACATGAAGAACTGTACTAAAGGACTGCAGCACTGCGAAGGTTGAGAACCACTGACCTAGGGTTTTGGAACCTTTTCTTGAAAGGGCAAATTAACGCACTTCCGAGAGCGAATAACCAATCCGGAGTAAGTGGGCATGGATTGGACCTAGTAGGCACCCTTAGCCCACTTCCTGGCTGGCTGCGCTAACGCCGAGGCCCGAAGCATAAGCCCCGCCCTCGTCCTTTCGTCTTACTCCGGTGTCGGCGCGGGCTGTGTGCGTCATTTCCGGCGGCGCGGAACTGGGTAGCCAACGGCCTGCGGAGCAACATGCCTAAGTAAGTGTGGTCCTGAGGTCTAGCGGATTTGCGGCGGTCCGCCGGTTCCTCGAGAGCGTGGCGGGCCGCGGGTTCTGGTTCTTGAGGCTCCGCGGGGAAGGCGAGCGCCTTGGGGGGATGCCGGGTGGGAAACGGGGCTCTCCGGCCGCCCCTTCAGAATGGAGCTGGCCCCTCTCAGCGAAGCCCGGGATTCTGTCAGAACGCTTTGTTTGACTTAGACCCCGAGTTGTTTGACTTTTTGGACATCTGTTAATTATTGACATCTTCTCTTTTCCTTTTAGGTTTTATTGTGACTATTGTGATACGTATCTAACCCATGATTCTGTAAGTGGCGCGTATTTTCATAGTCTTAAAACTCGTGTATGCAAAATAAGATTTTTTTTTTCTTTACGTCCACGAATATGCTTTACAGCCTGCTGGAAATTTTATGACAACTGTTCATAGAAAGTAACTGGGAGACCCCCCCCCCCCAACACACACCCTTTTGGTATGGTCTTTGTAACACAGAGATATTTGCAGAATGAAAAAGCTTTAGCAAGCTTGAAGATGAGAACACTTGCATATGCAGAAGCTTCCTGTGTCTGTGGTTTCAGTACTTGAGAGGCTGAGCCAGGAAGGTGGTGAATTCCAGGTCAGTCTAGGATTCATAATGAGGCCTTGTCAAAATAACTCCCTCAAAGTCCAGGAGTGTGTCTGTAGAACTCAGATATTTGACTATATGACATCCAAATATTTGGTTAAAGTGGAAGAAATGTCTTCATTTATAGAAGTGCAGCTCCATCCTCAGCAGGAGTCATAACTGGAAGAGTCTAGTGACGTGGGCCACTGTCTGGCACTCACTAGGCTCTGGGAAAGAGAAGAATAACCCCCTAGGGACAAAGCCAAGTGTGGTTAGTGGCCCCTGCCTGTTTTCCCATCACGCTGTGAATTTAAGGCTGTGATGGGAGACCCTACCTCAAAAAAGCAAACCAAAACAAACCTTTCAGTGATGGCAACATTTAGTGTTACGGTTTTAATAGTTTCTGCAAATGAAAAGAAATCGATTGTTTGTTTTCAGAGACAAAAGAAGGCAGCTTTGGCTGTTCTGGGACTCAGTTTGTAAATCAGGCTGACCTCAAACTCAGATCCATTTGCCTCTGCCTCCCGAGTGCTGGGATTAAAGGTGTGTGGCACCACATCCTGGCTTTTTTTTATTTAGTTTTGGACAGGGTCTTATTATGTAGCCCTTGCTGGCCTACAACTTGTTATGTAGACCAGGCTATCCTCTGAGTGTGGGGATTGAAATACTGTATTCTCATGGTTGTGTTGCTTAAGTGTATTTAAGCTGCTGTCTTCCCCATGGCGACACCTGAGGGCTTTAAAATAGCACGGTGATTCAGACAAGGGTATGCACACTTTTTCGTAAAGTAGCAAACTGTGTTATAGTATTCAAAGTCTGTCACTGTAGCGAGAAGCCACGGACAGTAAATGAATTCGTTGCCTAGTGCTAGAGCACATGCCCCGGTGCAGAGGCCCTGAGCTCCATTCTTTGGGTGGAGCGGTGTGGAGGGAGGCAGGGTCTGTTCAGTGCACCAGTGTCCAAAAGCTAATGTTTGGTGCATAGGCCACAGCACGCCGGCCTCTATTCTAGGCAATAAATCCAGTAAAGACGCATACTGAGGGCAGTGTGAGTAAACAGTACCATAGCATCTTAGCCGGGCTACCCTCCAGAGGCAAAGCTGTAAAGCTTTTTAGTTTGGTTATTTATTTCTGTGTCTGACATGACCTTTCTGTTTTACAGCCATCTGTGAGGAAGACTCACTGCAGTGGCAGGAAACACAAAGAGAATGTGAAAGACTACTACCAGAAATGGATGGAGGAGCAGGCCCAGAGCCTGATTGACAAAACAAGTATGTCTTACACTCTGGTTCTGATGTGACCAGTTGTGGCCCCATTTTTTTCATCCCTGTCTCCACAGCAGCAACTCTGTGTGATACACAGGTCCATTTGCTTTTGTTGAACGAGCAGAGTGGAAGGTCGCTGGTTTTCCATGCATATAGGAATATATTAATATTAAGTATTGAGATAATGCCTCAGAGAATAGTCAGGTGCAGTCTGGTTAGGCAAGGAGTGGGGGAGAGACGATGGAGTTGCCTAGGATTTTCCTTTCCTGTTAATGGCAAGATTTTGTAGCACATTTATGTGAACCTGTCTTTGCAAAGTTGTGATCCACAATATTGAGAAGATTTTTTTCCATAATGATTGGAAAGGTGGCGATGTGTTTGAGAGACCTTATTTGGGGTTTCATGTTTGTAGCTCTCGCAAAGAGAAGCAGTTAGAGGAAACTTAATTGTTGTGAAAAGACAGTCCCAATATGCTCTGGACTGTTGGACCTGCCGTAATCATCTTGCTCACTAGGAACCTTCTGTGTTTGCGAGCCTTTGTATTTACTTTAAATCATAGGGGTATGTTTGAAGCATGGCTTTTTCTAGAAATTTGTTTAGTTTTATGCGGCACAGGTGAGCCTCCAACCTGCTAGGTGTGGTGGAGGGTAACCTGACTTCTAGATCCTCTTGTCTCTGCTTCTCAAGTCACGGGGTTGTAGACACAGGCCTGGTCTGTTTTGTTTTGTGTAGGAAGTTGGGGCTTTTTGTTGTTGTTGTTTTTCTTTGTATGTGTGGGTGTCTGCCCATGCATGTACAAGAATAAGTCAGAAAAAGTGGCAGGGTGTTATTTTAACACTCTTTTCGTGTTGGAGGTAGCATGTCAAGTGTAGCCGTGGCTGCCCTGGAGCTTGTTATTTAGACCAGTCTGCTGGTGAACTCAAAAAAGAAAAAAAAATCTGCCTGCCTCTGCTCCTGGGTGCTCTAACTAAATCCTGGCCTGTGTTGTTATCACTCTGCCTTACTGCCGTGAGACAGGATCTTTCACTGAACCTGAAGCTTGCCATTATGAGCTAGGCTGCCTGGCCAGGGAGCTGGAATGTACTTTCGTCTTCTCCTCTCTACTGGGGTTTACAGGTGTGCATACCTGGTTATGCCTGCCTTTAAGGTGGGTGCCAGGGATGTGAACTCCAGTCCTTAGGCTGGAGTAAGAACTCTCATGCACTGAGCCATCTCTCCAGCCTTGTTTGGGTATTTTGGAACTTCTGGCCATCATCTTGTCTGAGGTTAGAGGTGATAAATGCAGTAATGCCACCTCCCTAGCTGAGTGCGTTCTGTGACAGTAGACCGTGGAGTGGGGAAGCAGACTATCAGGGCTGCGCCTTGTCGCTGCTGTGCGAAGTTCCCTAACATTGCTGTGCACTCTGCCTCTGCTCTTTACTGCTGCTTTTCTCTATAGGACGTGACGGTGCTATTCTAAGTGGAAAGCCCTACAGAGGGTCCCTGGCAGGGTACAGGCCTAGTCATGGTCTGGCCTGGCTTCCTTTAGTGGATGAGGGGCGAGCTGTAGGGCACTGCTTCCCCTAGAGAGGGATTTGTTTGTTTATTTAGGGTGGTTTTGGGTTTTGAGTCCAGGTCTTGATCTATAGTCCAGGTTAGGTTTGAACTCTGAAGCCTCGTGCCATCACTTCCCCAGTGCTGGGGTGATAGGCTTTTGCCACTGTCCTATTTATTTGACTCTTCTCAAGTCAGATATAGGTAATTATCATTCTCTTTTGTTATCACTTTTCCTAGTGTGGTCTATAGACGCACGTTGCTCTTGGTAGACTTTTGTTGAGATGGTGATCTTCATGCAGCCTCTTGCTTTCAAATACTTGTTTCTTCCTGTCTCTTGCTTCAGTGCATTTGTTTCAGAACATATAAACAAGGAACATGTATTGTTTTTCCTCAGGATGGGGAGATAGACATGTTTTAAGGCCTGGCCTTTGGACATGAATTGTACATTTTTCATATAAAACTAATGATTTGAATTGGTTATAAGCCTAGTTTTTGAAGTTAAAGATGTGTCTCATTATAGGCCTAACTTGGTCGTGAGCCCTGGTGCTCAGGTCCTCTGACAGCATCTCTTGAGTGCCGGGGTTAGAGGTGTGCACCGCCGTGCCTGCTCATACAGTTATCTTAGCCAGAGAAGCAAAAAAGTACAAATAGCTGTTAAATGATGAAGTTATAGGAAAACCTCTAAGTACTTAAACAAGTAAATCCGTTAGGTGCAGCTGTGTCAGTTGAGTATCACAGAATGACTGTAAACCTGTAGTGCCACATACAGTAACTAGAGTACTCCCTAGGATGAAGTAAATATGGTGAAGGTTTCAAAGAAAGACAGTGGTTATTTTAGTCAACGAGCTGCTGCATTCTTACCCATTGTTTGTTTTCTTGCTTCTCTTAAGCGGCTGCATTTCAGCAAGGAAAGATACCTCCAGCTCCATTCTCTGCTCCTCCTCCTGCAGGGGCCATGATCCCACCTCCCCCCAGTCTCCGTAAGTTTGGAACTTGGTGTGAAGGTGTGAAAGATTATTCCATGTATAGATTAATTACCTTGTCACAGATTGGCTTCCAAATACCTTGTTGACGGTCGTCAGTAATTGAAAAATGCAACTTTAACAGTATAATTTTCTCTGTTGTGGGAATGTAAAAAGTGCATGTTTTATTGTGTTTGGTTTTAGTTTTGGTTTTTTGAGACAGGGTTTCTCTGTGTAGTCTTGGCTGTCCTGGGCTTGCTTTATAGACCAGGCCGGCCTCAAACTCACAGAGAATCGGCTGCCTCTGCCTCCTGAGCGCTGGGATCAAAGGTGAACACCACCATGCCCAGCTGCCTTATGGTTAACTTTGAGTGGCAGTGTTTTTTCTGTGACTTCACAGGTATGAGAGCTCAGAAGGAGCCTGTGAGATAAACAAATATGTGAGTAGATATTGCTGGACAAGTCAATTCTTTATTCATGAGTTTGAGGCCAGCCTGGTCTATAGAATGAGCTCCAGAACAGTTAAGGCTACATAAAGAAACTCTGTCTCAAAAACAAAAAATCAAGAAAGAAAGAAGCAAACAAAAAAATCCCCCGGAACTTAAGTTAAAGTTGGTTGTTAGCTGCCGTGTGCGTGCTGGGAATTGAACTTAGGAACCCTTACACATTGTTCTAGCCCATCGGATTTGTTTTTGTTTTCTTTCTGTTTTTTGTTTGTTTTTCTTTGGTTTGGTTTTTTTAAAACATCAAAAAAAATTTTTTTAAGATTTATTCATATGTGTATACAGTATTCTGCCTGTTTGTACATCTGTTTGCCAGAAGAGGGCACCAGATCTCATTCTAGATGATTGTGAGCCACCATGTGATTGCTGGGAGTTGAACTTCAGACCTTTGAAAGAGCAGCCAGTGCTCTTAATCTCTCCAGCGCCCCCCTTTTTGTTTTGTTTTGTTTGTTTGTTTGTCTGAGACATTGTTTCTCTGTGTAGCCTTGGCTGTCCTGGACTCACTTTGTAGACCAGGCTGGCCTTAAACTCACAGAGATCTGCCTGCCTCTGCCTCCCAGAGTGCTGGGAGTACAGGGGTTTGCCTTTGCGCCCAGCTTCTTTTGGTTTTTCGAGACAGGGTTTCTCTATGTAGCCCTGGCTGTCCTGGACTCACGTTGTAGACCATGCTGGCCTTGAACTCACAGAGATCCGCCTGCCTCTGTTTTCTCAGCACTTGGGATCAAACAGCACCACCGCCTGGCCTGTTTTTGTTTTTCAAGACCAGGCTGGCCTTGAACTCAAAGAGATCTGTCTGAGACCTCCTGAGAATGTAGCCACCACCACTGCCCTGCAAGATTTGTGGACATCCTGTGGCCTGAGCCCAGGGTCCTGCTCAGCCAAGCCCATGTGTACGAGCCAAGCCCATGTGTACTGCTGAGCTGCACATGGAGCCTCAGAACCTTTTCAGATGCAGGGACTCTTTCGTATTTTACGTTCTTGTCCAGCCAGGCTTGCTATTTCATGTTTTGTTTTGTTATTGGAGACAGGGTTTCTCTGTGTAGCCCAGGCTGTCCTGGAACTTGCAAAATACACCATGACGTATTGTATTTGTGAATAGAATCTCTCGGAATCCTGTTATTTAAGAGTTTGAACCAGCTGTGAGAACCTCTTAGTTTAGCTAAGGAGAGTCATTGTCAGCATGTCAGCCCTCTAACTGCAGCTTCTGTTTCTGTTGTAGCGGGTCCTCCTCGTCCTGGCATGATGCCTGCACCGCACATGGGAGGCCCTCCCATGATGCCCATGATGGGCCCCCCTCCTCCTGGGATGATGCCCGTGGGACCTGGTGAGTTGGAGCGTGTTGCGTTTTAGTGTGCAGCAATTAGATCTGCTTTAAGGAGTGTTCTTTGTTAGCTGCCGAGAGTCATTGTTTTAAGTATTGAAACATTGAACTTGTCAGGGTTTGATGATAAAGGTTTGGTTTGTGCTCCTGAAAGCCGGGCGAGGCTGCCCCTCTTACCCCTCCATTCTGTTTCCTTGCCTTAGTCTGACTTGGGGCCACTTTCGATGGTGTGGATGAGACCGTTGGGGCCTGGGGGTAGAGGAAGGTATTTTCTGTTTTGATTTGGTGCAGAGCTGCCTCCTTGGAGGTTCATACTAGAAACCATTGGCTTAGTACTTTTTATCTTTTCTCTGTTTTTGAGACAGGGTCTCCTTTTGGAGCACTGGCTGTTCTGGAACTCTCTTTGTAGACCTCCTGCCTCTGCCCCCTTCGGCCAGTATTAAAGGTGTTCGTCACTGTGCCCAGAATTCTTTCATTTTCGTTTTACAATTAGGAAGCATGAAAAAAAGCAGCTTATGTCAAATACTTTATATGTTTGTTGCCAGAGATTGAACCTAGTGCCTTGATGTGCTTACAAGTTCTACCGCTTGGCTCAGCCACAGACATTGCATTTACAGTGCGTGAGAGCGCATCCAAGGCCTTGCAGGGTTTAGGGGTTTGTGTGTGTGTGTGTGTGTGTTTGTTTGTTTTCGAGACAGCGTTTCTCTGGGTAGCCTTGGCTGTACTGCACTCACTTTGTAGACCAGGCTGACTTTGAATTCACAAAGATCTGAGTGGTGCCTTTTCAGCTCCCCTACCCCTCAGTGCTGGGATTAAAGGTGTGGGCTACCATGTCCATTCCGTGCAGATTTTTGCTCTTATTTATTCTTTTAAAGATTATTTATTATTTATACAGCATTCTGTCAGCATGTGTGCTGCACACCAGCAGAGCGCAGCAGCTCTCACTAGGTGGTCAAGAGCCACCCTGTGGTTGCTGGGAATTGAACTCAGGACCTTTGGAAGAACAACCAGTGCTCTCATCCTTTGAGTCATCACTCCAGTCCATCCTTGCAGATTTTTAAATATGGAACGGAGTGTGTTTCTCATGTGTACGTGTGGACACCCATACACAGTAGCACCTGTGGAGGTCAAAGGGCAGGTGTAGGTGCTGGTCCTCTCCTGCCACCTATAGGTGGAAGGACCCATTTCAGCAGCATGCAAGATCTGCTGCTGCCCCAGCCAGCTTACCCCCTCCCCGATTGGAGGTGTGGTAGGGCTTTGTTTTTCTGTTGATGAAGTCTCACTAAAATATCCCTGACTAGTCTCAAACGCACAAGAGATCTGCCTCCCCAATGCTCACCACAGTCTGAGTTTCAGTTTCTTTGAAGTGGTTAGAGACTGTGTAATCTAGTTCCCAGTGGCTTTTGTAGGGGAGTAAGTTATGTCCTAGGGACCTAGCCTGTAGCCTGTGAGCTGTTACTACCTCCAGTCTTTTTATGATGAATCTGCCACATTGCTGAGCACGTGAGGGTCTTTCCAACTGTATCATGTCTCAGATATTTTATTGGTTACATAATAGTTGCATTATCTAATTACAGTAATAAAATGGTAGGCATAGCTAACTAGGTGTGAAAACTGATAAGTGGCACCTCCAATTTACCTGGAGAAACAAGGGTATAAACTCAAGCAGCCTTCTACCCAGAACTGTCAGTCGTGGGCCTATGTGGATATTATTTACAGCTTTGGGAGAGCATAGAGATGCAGATTTAGTGAGTGTTGTATTGCTGTGAAGAGACACTATGACCATGGCAGCTCTTAGAAAGGAGAGCATTTCATGGGGCAGCTTAACAGTTTCAGAGGTTTAGTCCATTATCATCATGGCGGGAAGCATGGTGGCGTGCAGGCAGACATGGTGCTGGAGAAGCCAAGAGTTCCACATCTTGATCCACAGGCAGCAGGAGACTGTGTACCACACTGGGTGGAGCTTGAGAACAGGAGACCTCAAGCCCTGTCCCCACAGTGACACAAACAAGGCCACACCTCCTAACAGTGCCAATCCCTGTGGACCAAGCATTCATATATTAGTCTGTGGGGACCATACCTGCTCAGGCCATTCACTGGCCTATGAACTCAAGATCCGGCCAGGTGGTAGAGATGGAGGCACAGTCATAGTCCCCCTCGTGGAACTAGGCTGGCCTGAAACTCATGGAGATGCACTTGCCTCAGTTGCCCAAATGCTGGAAATAATGGCTTGTGCCACTGTGACTTGTCTGTTCTCTAAATCAGTGACACAAAATAAAGGATTTAGGGAGTTTAAAGATGCTGGGAGCTGCTGCGCGGTGGTGGTCCACTCCTGTAGTAACCCCAGCACTTGGGGAGGCAGAGGCAGCAGATCTCTGTGAGTTCCAGGCCAGCCTGGTCCATACAGTGAGTTCCAGGCCAGCCAGGGCTACACAGACAAGCCCTGTTTCAAGAAAAACAAACGAACAAAACCTTTGGAAACCAGGAATGAATGAGTCACCTTGAAGCTGGGCAGGGTGGCCCATGCCTGTAATCCTTCCTGCATGGGGCACTGTAGGCAACACAGCAGACCCTAGTTCTGTAAAAACAACAGCAATGAAATAAACGATAGGAAAAAGGAGAGAGGCTCCCAGAGGCTAGACTTCTATATGAAGTCCCGTTATTAGCAATTTAAGGTAAATCCACTGTGGAGAGAAAAGGGAACAAATATTCCAGGTTTGTATTGTTTTATTTGGACCTGTAACACACAAATGTGAACCTGCCTGTGTGCCTCAGGGCCCAGTGTTCTGGGCTGCCGTTGACACTGGTCCTTGCTGCTTCTGTACCTGTTGTCTTTCCTTACATACATAATCTGCTTGGTAAGTGTTTGTGTGATAGAGCTCTGTAAATTGGTCACCCTCCTGTGGTGGAGGGAGGGCTGTGAGGATTTAGAAAAAGAGTTTTGCTTTTGTAACTCTGGAACCCTATCTCCTCCTAGTGCTGAACTGTAGGCTTGTGTTCCATATCCAACTTAGAAGATGGTTATATCTTAAGCTACTTATACCACAAACCTTCAGTCAAAATAAGTTAAAAAGAAACTTTTGGAAAACCATGGTGTATCTATAAAATTTCCTGTGTACTCCATTCCCGACTTATCTTATTTTTTTACATTTTTATTACTTATTTGTATTTTTTATGTACGTTGGTGGTTTGTCTACATGTATGTCTGTGTGAGGGTGATGGATCCCCTGGAACAGGAGTTACAGACAGTTGTGAGCTGCCATGTGGGTGCTGGGAATTGAGCCCAGGTCCTCTGGGAATTGGGTGCTGAGCCATCTCTCCAGCCCCTGACTCATTTTTTATTTTCCTTTTTGCGATAATGGCTCAGTATGTAACCTTGCTTGGAGCTTGTTAAGTAACCAGGCTGTCCTCTGACTTGCTACAGTCCTCTTGTCTCTGCCGCCCAAGTGCTGGGATTACAGGCATGTGCCACAATGCTTGCAAAATTTGATATTTGTAAAGAATTCATACAGCAGAAATAGTAAAGAGCATAATAACAAAATGAATATTCATGAGCCCACCACCTGAAGAATATTCATGTGATTGCCGTCTGGCTGAGGAGAGGGACCATCACTTTCCCTGAGGCTGGGTGTTGCCCTTTACCACTCCCTGCCACAGGGATCGGGCTGGTTCATTGTTATCACACACATACAAAGGTGATTAATAGTTTCTAAACTGCATTTGGAAAGTGAGTTTCTGTGTATTCCATTGATATGAATCTTGTAATTACTTGCTATCTTTGTGACTTGAGCTAAAATGGTTACTGTCAGATTTTTAACCTGAGCCTGATCACTTTCCCATGGTTGCCAATAGCTGCTTAGTGGTGAGACTGTCCTCTGTGCCTAGACATGGAGGAGACAGCTCCTGTTTGCATGGTAGAGATAATTGGCTGAAAAAGCTAAGCAGGCCAGGCATGGTGGCAGGACAGCCAGGGCTACACAGAAAAGCCCTGTCTGGAAAACAAAACAGCAACAACAAAAGCCCTAAAAAGTGGACCCTGAAAGATACTAAAAAAAGAAAATAATAAAATACAAAAAAAAAAAAAAAAAAGAAAAAGAAAAAGACACACTTGACAGAAAAAAATGCAACACATTCATCAAATCTTAAGTTACTGAAGACATTCTCAAAATGAAAAGCTCAGCCCAGGCAGCTCTGGGGTGCTGGTCTGATGACAGGAGGGGCTATATAGACCACTACTCACAGGCCACCAGGGAGACCAGGTCTGCTCTGCTCAGTTTTTTATTGGGTTGTTTTTGGTTGAGAAAGTCTCTTAAAAAGCTGTGGCTGGCCTCAAACTCAGATCTGCCTGCCTCTGCCTCCCTAGAGCTGGGTTAAAGGTGTGTGCCGCCACCCAGCTGACTTTGTGGGTTTTAATTGAAGTCCCATACTACTGTCGAATGAACCTGCTTCTCACTCCTTTGGCTCTGTTTGTTGTACAGCTCCTGGGATGAGGCCACCCATGGGAGGCCACATGCCCATGATGCCTGGGCCGCCAATGATGAGACCTCCGGCTCGCCCTATGATGGTGCCCACTCGCCCTGGAATGACTCGGCCAGACAGATAAGAGCAGAGCGGCTCTTCATCAGTTTTGTATTTCTTCCTCTGTTTCGCCAGGAGATCACGGTGCTGAGCCTGTGTTTTCTAGCTGCATGACGAGAGAACTCCCCCTTCCTAACGGAATAGTTTTGGAGGGAGAAGTGGTATAAAATGCAGTTTTCACTTATATTGTGGGATATGAAAATAAAATGTCAGCTCTTTTAGTTAAAAGTGTGTCCCTTTTCTTTCTTTGTGTGTCCTGTGGAGATGAGGCCAGCTTTGTGCTAGCTTGTTTTCCAGCATGTCTACAGTGAGATTCTTTGCGAGTGATGGTAGGAATCCTGTGCTTTCCTACTTAAACGTCCTTGTTACAGGACTTTGGATTCTCAGATAGGATTTTCTTTCTTTTGAGACACGGTTTCTCTGTAGCCTTGGCTGTTCTTGAGTTTGATCTGTAGACCAGGCTGGCACTGAACTCAGAGATCTGACTGTCTCTGCCTCCTGGGTGCTGGGATTAACCTGGAGTACCACCACTGCCTGCCTGGCTTTACCTGTTTGATCTCTGAGACAGATCTTTTTTTAATATTTATATTTTATTTGCATTGGTGTTTTGTCTGTGAGAGTATTGGATACTCTGGAACAGGAGTTACAGACAGTTGCAAGCTGCCATGTGGGTGCTGGAGATTGAACCCACGTGGAAGAACTGCCAATGCTCTTAACTTTTGAGCCATCTCTCAGCCCCGAGACAGATTCTTCAAGTGCCTCAAGCTGATCTCAGTGCAGTGGAGGACAAGGCTAATGTCCCCTACTTGGCTCAGAGAGGATTGTGTAAAGCCCAGGTTAGCCTTGGTACGAGTATTATGGGTGTGTTCTACCTTGCATGACTTTGACACCAAATTTAAAATTTCATTTCAGAGCCAAACATTGGTGGCATACACCTCTAATCCCAGCACAGAGGAGGCAAACGCAAAGGAGTTTGAGGCCAGGCTGGTCCACAGAGCGAGGTCCGTTGGTTGTTTACTGAGGCAGGGTGTCTTGCTGAGTCCAGAGCTCCGTGGTTTGGTTAGGCTAGCAGCCCACTTGCAGCAGGGATCCCATCTCATTCCCGACAGGGCGGCCATTACGCCCGGTCCGCTTTTGTGTGGGTGCTGGAGGTCCAAATTCCTGACGAGGCCACCACTTTACCTACCGAGTCACCTCCCAGCCCCGGAAGTACTTTTAGGTTAGGCCACCCACATGCTAGACTCATCTTTACCAGCTGTGCAGGGGTTTTCGGTTCAGAAGACCTTTGCGTTGGCGTTCTGTCTCCAGGCTTCAAAAGCTAGGTGTATTCCTGAAATGCCTGAGTAAGTCATGCTAGCCGAGCTCGGCACAGAGTGTCGTTTATGTAATGCCTTTTTGCATTTGAGATGTGTGCTATCTTGGTCAACCGTTACATGCTGCTGGCTGCCGGGAAAGCTGATGATGACTTCTTACATGACTCAGCTGGGAAGTGCCATAACCGTGGATGAACACACAGAATACAGAAAGCTAGTTGTGATGTCGTATGCCTATAACCCCAGCACGTTAGGAGGGCCTGGGGTTTGAGGCCAGCCTAAGCTACATAGTGAATTATTTGGAAATGGTCTCTGTGTAGCTCTGGTTGGCCTGGAACTTAGAGAAGTCTGCCTGCTTCTGCCTCCTGAGTGCTGGCATTAAAGGCACACACTGCCATACTGGGCTTTAGGGAATTTTTGGGTGTACATGTTTTGAGACTGGGATTTTCTGTTGTAGTTTAAGGTGTCTTTGGAACTGTGGGCTAGGTTGGCCTTGAACTCAGAGATCTGTCTGCCTCTCGAGCGCTGGGGTCAAAGGTATGCACCGCCACATCAGGCTACTTAATGGATTTTTTAAAAGAGATGTTTTGTGTACTGCTAGAAAAAGCCAAGATACATGTGGTTGGTTCTTATAAATAACAAGTTTTATGGATTATACGTTACATAAATATTAACAGAGAATTTCTTCAAGTTCATTGCTGCCCGAAAGGAATTATTTCTATTTGCCTATGTATCAGGTAAGCGTCTGGTAAGTTGCTCAGAAAGAGTAAATGGTAGTTGGGAGACACCGGTGAGTGGAGAAAAGTTTGTCCCTCTCTGGTATCTGGTCTCATGTAACCCAGGTTGTAGTTGGAGTTATTGTTGAAAAGTAATCAAAAGACAAAATATCCTTGCCAGCTAATGGTGCAATAGCAGTGTGGTGGCGGAGAGTGGCCCAGGCCTGCAGGTCACAGGTTTGGTGGTCGTAATCAGGATCACTGGGGGCTGGAGAGTGGGTAAGGCAGGTCACCCTCAGACCTGTGACCTTCCCGCTCTAGCTTCTAAATATAAAGTCTAGATTTGGGATTAATAGATCTGGGTAGGGGAAATTTGTAGTTCAGAAAAGCTGTGAAACATTTTTAGTCTTTTATTTTTTCCATATTATTTATTTTTGTTTATGTGCATTGGCGTTTCGACTGCCTGTGTGTCTGTGAGGGTTTCAGAAGCCCTGGGGTTGGGTGTGAGCTGCCATGTGGGTGCTGGGAATGTGTGCCATGTCTGCCCTGGAAGAGCAGCCAGTGGTCGTAACCACTGAGCATCTCTCCAGCCTCCTCTCTTATTTCTTAAGATAGGGAGTGTGTCCTAGAACTTGCTCTACATGCAGGATGACCTTGAACTTCTAATGGCCCTGCTTCTGCCTTTCAGGTGCTGGGATTACAGGTGTGTGCTGCCATGCCTGACTGCTTGTAACAGGCATTTGGGGGTTCTTTGTTCCACCCTTCTCCACTTCTCTCTCTCTCTTTTTTTTTTTTTTTTCCAAGAGGCACAGTTTATCTGTGTAGCCTATTTGTAGACCAGTCTGGTCACAGCAACCCACCTGCCTCTGCCTCCCTGAGGGCTGGGATCAAAGATGTGTGCCACCATGGCCAGCTTCCATCTTTTATTCCCTTTCATACCCCTAACACTAGATAAGACAGGAGAAAAAAAAAAAAAAAAAGGATAGAGAGTAAAGGAAGTAAAAAGATCTCCGAATAAAGTTGGGTCTGAAAGGAAGCAACCTTATCATTAGACATCTTGCAGATTAGGGGCTTGAGTTCCTTGGGACAAGTTTGATCTTCAAAGCAGGATATCTAATTTCTTGTTCCTTCTTTTTTGTGTGATTACTTAAACAGAACAGATAACCAATCCCCCATTGGGGCTCTAGCATTTATATAGTCCCTGAGAAAGTCCCCAGAATTCTAAAGATCACAGTTGTAGAAACTACCTGCAGCTGGCAAAACCACGCAGCTGTCAGAGCACAAGGCAAATCATAGTCAGCTGCTCTTCGAACAGCTAGAACAGCCCCACACCTGGGATTAAAACGAGAGCACACTCTTAAAATATTTCTGTGTTTTTAAAGAAACCAAAATTCCAGATGCTCACTACAGCACTGTGCTGCTTAGCCAACGCTGACCTTGAACTCACAGCAGTTATACCTCAGCCTCATGGGGACCGGGATTTTAAAAGTGTACTATGAAAGCCTGACGCTTATAATCCCAGCACTCAGGAGGCAGAGGCAGGTGTATCTATCTCTGAGTTCCAGGCCAGCCTGGTCTACAACCAAGGCTACACAGAGAAACCCTGTCTCAAAAAACAAAACAACAGCAACAACAACAACAACAAAAAATCAAAATAAAAACCCCACCACCAAAAAACAAAAACAACAGCAACAAAAAAAAAAACAAGAAAAAAACTACCTTGTCAAACTTTTTTTTTTTTTGTTCCTGAGACAGGGTCTCTGTGTAGCCTGGCTGTCCTGAAACTCACTTTGTAAATTAGTAGTAGATCTACTTGCCTCTGTCTCCTGAGCGGTGGGGCGGTGCCACCACTGCCCCTGTTCAAAGTGTTTGTTTTTGTCTTTAAATTGAATCTCTATCCTGGAATCAATGCTTGTCTTGGAATAAATTTTCAGAAAAACTTAGGGCAATTTATGCAAGGTTGATGAAGTTTAACCGCAGTGATTAAAACAGGCGTGTAGCCAGGTGCGGTGTTCACAGCTGTGTTGTTGGCACTCAGGAGGCAGAGACAGGAAAGTCGGAGCAAGCCTGATGCCATCCTCCTCCATCTACATAGCAGATTCTGGGCCAGCTAGGGCTATATATGGACACCTTGTCTCAGAATAACAACCCAGAGTCAGAAGAACCGGGGCTGGCTCAGCAGTCACGTGCTGCTCTAGAGGACCCAGGGTCAGTGTCCAGTGCCCACACCAAGTGGCTCAGAGCTGCTTGTACCTCCAGTTCTTTGCAAAGGGTCTAACAGCCTCTGGCCTCTGCCACGTGCCTGCATAACTCACACAGGAGCACAAATGTAGATAAGCAAAAACATACATCTTTGGGGGAAGAGGGTAGTGTCTGGGTTGAGGCTTTGTGGAGGAGTGAATTCGCTTTAATTCTTACCACTGCCAAATTACTAACCCAGAAAGCGAAACCACCCTCAAAAGCAGGAATTGAAATCTTCATTTTCCAAGGGCATTTGAGTATGTTGCTAAGATTTTTTTTTTTTCTCATTTGAGTCATGTATAGTACCAATCAATAGAGAGATTGTGGGCTTTTTTTTTTTTTTTTTTTTAATTTTTTTTTTTTCGAAAAGTAGGCTGTATGCAAAGTATGTTCAGGTTTGGTTTGGTTTGTTCAGAGTTTGACCTGTCGGCAGTTTGCCAAAATGCTGCACTGAGAAATGAGATCCTTGTCCTGAGCCTCCGTCCTGCATGAAACAGGATCCAACCCTTGTCCCAGTCGATAGCTCTGGTCCGATTGGCATTTTAGATTCCTAGATGTGGCGGAGAGTGGAAGCGGCCTGTTCACCTGTGTTTAACAGTGCCCTGAGGCTTGCTTTGTTTACCCCGAAGGCGTTATGTGTTTAAAAGAAGCTCAGTACCTGCAGATGTTTCTTTTCCTTGAAACTGGAAGCATTAAAGGTTAGATCTCTTGGCTCAGAATCAACCGCTAGAACAGCTGGTCAGACGGCTTGCTGTCCCGGCTCTTCAGGCTTTGAGGAACTTTCCTTTGGTACTGTGGATGTGTCCTCAGCCTGACATTTCAGGTTAGAAGTTGCAGATCCGCCCAGAGGGCACTTGAGTATTTTCATTTTTTACTTTTTGAAGACAAGGTCTCTCAGTGTAATCGCGGCTGACCTGGACCTCCCTATATAGACCAGACTGGCCTCGAACTCGCAGATTTGCCTGCCTCTGTCTCCAGATAGTTTGGAGCCAAGGCGAGCGCCGCCACCCAGCTTTCCGCAGAGTGAGCCCCGCCCCGCCGCAGGCCCCGCCCCTCGCCCCGTGCGCCTGTGCCGCCGGCGCGCGCGTCCCCGCCCCTCGCCGCGCGCCGTCGCCTCGGGGGAGCCGGGAGGGCGGCGCGCGGTCGCGGTTCTCCTCCGCGGGAGGCTGCGGCGCCGCGCGGACGGGCGGCGCGGGGGGA